TTGCTGTCAAAAAGCAGCAGTCTGACCTCATGTTCACTCTTTTATCCTCATTTTAGGAAAAATTTAAATCCTGAACTTTTATATTCACAGTCAGGCCAGTTAAGATAGACTCTGAGAATTGCACTGAATTTGTGGATTCAAGTTAAATCAGGTTTAATTTTACGCCCATCTTTTTAGGGGACTTTATAGTCAAACTTCAGGCAGATGGGCTCGAATAGCAACCAGTATCTGGAAAATGGCTCAAAAATGGTGCATCTCAAAAGTTCTTCTTAAAGAACTGACAAACAAACTAGTTTCTAAAGGACTTGTATAAGTATAACTTAATCTTTACTGGACATGACTAGGTTGGCTATTTTTAGAGTGGCAATATCAAAGCTAGCCGGCCGAACAAATGCCTGGCAGACCAAAGACTAACTTCTTTCATCCTCTTTGAGAACGGACCAAATCATATCTCAATCTGTCCTTTTGGACAAGATGAAAATGCCCTTTAGATGCTGCGTCTTTTTTCTTTTTGGCGCATGTAATGTATACAATGGCCGGCTTCATCTGTAGCTATTTACACGACACAAATGGTAGAATAGGATCTAAATTGTCGTGATGAATGAGAAATTGTGAACTCCTTTTTAGAGTAGAATGAAGCAAGTAAAGGCCTACTGCAAAAATGTTTACCTTACAGCAAATTAAGTTGCGTTTGCTGCCGCCATATTGCTCGTTAAATGTAACCCTCATTGTAAAATGCTTGGCCTGCATATAACGGCATAGGAAGACGGCTTACTCAAAAGGGTCGGTTCATTCAGGTGTACCCACTCCACCTCCCAGTTATCCTAAACATACTTCACTAACAGATTAGTGATATTGCTTCAGATATAATCTACTAAAGATCTTGCGAATTTTAAAAATGATACCACCTCAAATATGAACTAAGACACCCGAGATATGAAGACTAAAATGTTGTGGGATATATAAAAAAGTGCCCAATTTAGTTCATTGTACCTTAAGAGTTAGTGAAAGGTTTTCACCTTATGTAAAAACTGTATTCCCTCTATTTCGTTTAGTGTGATGTAGCTTCCCATTATCGAACGATTTGGCCTCATATTTCCATTAAATTTCGCATAGCATCGCTTCCCAAAAGGTATTCGCATCCAACTTGAACTCGCCCGCAGTTTCGAACTCTCCTAAGCTGGTCTCATCAACACACCCAGTAGGAGTCGAACCCGTCTTGTAGTAGTACAGCGTATAATTTCACTCCCTTAGCGACTACGCCAGAGTGCCACAAGTGCTCTTGGCTCACAGGACAGATGTCAACTACAAGAAAGTCCAGGCCTTTAAAGTACCCACCTTTTGTGGTGGGATTGTCAGCGAAGCAAAGTTGAATTTGCTATACGAATCGAGTACACTACTTATTTTCCGGAAATAAGTAGCTTTTTAAACTACCATTTAATCACATATGAGAAAATTCACTTTAAACGAAAAATCTAATATTAATCTAGAAAATCAACTTATTAGAAGGTTTGAAATTGCTTTTGCAAACTATTCGTGTTGCCAGAGTGGTCTGGATGAATGCACTTTGGGCAAACTCTTCTGCTTTATTAGTTATGATCAGTCCAAGCGTCGGACCGGAACTTGGAACATTCGCTGACGTTTTGCTGGCAAAACTCATTGATGATGCCGCTTCAAGTGCCGACGAATCGTGTAGGAATATGTAAAAGTCATTTAGCTACCTGATGCTGGTGTACTATATAGGTCTGCATGACAGCACGACCAAGTTACGAAAACGAAGTGTAAACGCTTCTTTAGTCGCCATAGTTAAATATTCCCCAAAATACGATTAGCCGACCTCAGGTATTTCGGTAAAACTCAACTATAAGTCCATGAATCACATTAAGTAGTCTAGAATGAGTAGCTTATTATTCAATAATAACTGCTCGCCTCGAAGCCTGCACATAATGACATTCTTTAAGCCTTTTGCAGTATCTTTTGAGTGCAATGACAAATCCGAGTTTTACTCTAAAATATGAATTGAGGCAAGCTGATCTGGCTTACCTTCAAAGTCTAATACGCTGTTCGATCGAGGGGCATTTGTATTGTGTGAAAGAGGTGTGACGTAAGGCCACTTGACACTCCAACGAATTTCGATTACGGTTAGGAGTGGTAATATGCCGCTTGGAAGGTCGAAATTGTGGCCGACGTTGGGAAAGTAATATCAAAATGTGTCTCAAATATCTGATTTACTAATAGCCTCTAGACTCTACTTACAAACGAAAAATAAGTAATATCGAGTAAAGTGTTCAGAATGTGGGAGCAGGTTAACATGTAAACCTTCATCAAATAAAATGATCAAAGTTGGCCACATAAACTGTAACACTAACTGATGCCCATCTGCTCGCCACGAAGGCGGTCGTGAAGTCTCATCAATTCTCCGTGAGTCGCAGCCGCCTCTTTTTGTAGACTGGCAAGCCGGCGTTGCAAGCCGGTGTTCTCTTCCTCCGAGACTTCAAGTCGAGTCTGTAACGAGGCTTGGAGACTGTGGCTACTGGCAACCGGGGTTCCAATACAACCGTCGGGTCGAGGAGTTATTTCACCACTACCTTGTCCCATAAATCCAGTCAGAGGAGAAAAGTTGGCAGAAGACATGTTTTCCCGGGCCGCCTGATTGGGCAGCAAGAGAATAAAGAATGAGCTTTTGTGCGTATATTCGAGAAAATAATAAGTGGATAAAAGAAGACATATTATATTTAATATGAGATGTAATCACACAATTTCGTTTAAGGTGATGAAGGACTGGTAGAAGAAGAATTTTCCTACAAAAATATGAGTTGAGCTGATGTTTTCATTGAATTCCACATAGCCTTGATTTCCCAAAAGTTGTTCTCATTCAGACCCCAATTGACTGCAGTTTCGACCTCACATAAGTCTTATCAAACCGTCAGCGGGAGTCGAACCGCGACAGTGCAGGATGGGAGCTTGACACGCTAACCACTCGGCTACACTGCCACGAGCGCCTTTTGGGTCACAGGGCAAGTGTCAATTTTCAAGGAAGGTCAAGCCTTTTTCCATATCATATTCTTTTGGTGGAATTTTCGATGAAGCAAACGTATTTTTGCTATAAAAATCGACTGCTATACTTTATTTATCAAATTAGGTATTGTTGTTGTGACTACCAGTAAATAAGTAATATGAGATGTATTCACCCAATTTCGTTTAAGGATGAGAACAACTTTTGGGAAGGCAAGGCTAATTGGAATTCAATGAAAACATTAGCTCAACTCATATCATTGTGGGAAAATTCTTCTTCTACCAGTTCTTCATCACCTTAAACGAAATTAGGTGGATACATCTCATATTACTGATATACTGATAGTCACGATAACAATACTTACTTCGAAAAATATTAACAATTAATCCTAACAGAAAATTCTTCTCAATTAAGATTGTTATTAGAGTATTTAACTCCTCATTCCGATGATTTACATCCGCTAGACGTAAACTCCTTATTATCATTAGTTTCATTACTTCTACTTTAGCATCATAAGTATGAATCAAAAAGAAATTAAGAGGGAAATCCGCATTTGGGGGTTTCCCATATACAACTCTGCCCAGTTTGATCTCTTTTTTCATAACTAAGACATCTAAAAAGGGTAAATTAATATCCTTTTCGAACTCCATAATGAATTCAGTCGTTTTATCTCATCTATCCATTAACCCAAGGAAGTCTTGCAAACACTATCTGTCATGCTGCCAGATAGCAAAGTAATCATCCAATTATCTGACCAATAGTTTCGGAACAAGTAGTGACTCTTGAAGAAGCTGAACTTCCAATTGAGCCATGTGATTATTAATTAAAACTGAAGATAAGCACGATCCCATAGCGAAACCTCTGGTTTTACTCGTAGATTTTACGATTAACGATAAAATATGTATTGAAGTTGTTTTACCTTGCTTTCGAAACTTCGTCATATACGAATTATTTGTGGTCAATTAAAGCAAACCTCAGGTTTTTGGTAATTTGCAATAAATAATTCATATGACGAATATACCGGTTAATAAGGTCATTCAGACACTAGGATTAACTTTAGATCGACACCCAGTCATTATATCAGGAACTAAGATAGGCAAGGAGCCAATCATGGGATTGAGGAACTCACTAATGAATAATATATATTTTAATCAAAGGTATGAAGACCAAGATGTTGTGGTCTTTTGTGTGGTCGCAGTCTCCTTTCGTTGTATAGAAGTTGTTTTAACTTGTCTTCGTAACTCGGTCCATTGTATGCATACGCATTTCCAAAGTCAGACTGTGGACGTGGTACCTTCCCAGACTTCCCATACCCTAGTGTCTTGTGTGCCAACCCACAAATGTTGTGGTTCAACATTGAACCTAACCAAAGCAAGCAGTACCACAACATTTGTGGATTGTTACATAAGAGACTAGGGCATGTGAAGTCTGAGAATGTACCACGTCGACGGTCCGACTTTGGAAATGCGTATGCATACAATGGACTCCGGACAACGTGCGTTCCTCTAAGTTTTCCTACCAATATGACCAAGTTGCGAACACAAGTTCAAACAACCTCTATACAACGAAAGGAGACTGTGACCACACAAAAGACCACACAATCTTGGTTTTCATACCTTTGATTAAAATATGTATTATTCATTAGCAAGTTCCTCAATCCCATGATTGATTCCTTGCCTATCTTAGTTCCTGATAGAATCGCTAGGTGTAGATCTAAAGTTAATCCTAGTGTCTGAATGGCCTTATTAATCTGTACATTCTTCATATTAATTATTTATTGCAAATTACCAAAAACCTGATGTTTGCTTTAATTGACCACAAATAATTCGTAAAACTTTATGTATCACACTAACCGTATCGTTCACAGTGATACTAAGTTGAATCCCTTCTTTGTGAATTTTGGGCAGATCAAATTCAATACGAGGTGTAGCATCATGTTGGAAAATTAAATTAATTTTCCTCTTCTCCAATTCGACCCTATTAACGCATCGTTGCAGGCTCCTCCTTTTGCTTTCTCAAAAACTAACTGTTCGTGTTATCTATGCTTCTTATAGATAGCATTGTTCCATCTATTCTTATTTGTTACTTTTACATGGTTGTCAATTAGAGAAACACCTTGTAATTCAATTTCACATTTCGTTTTTTCTTATAATCGGTCAATAAACTTACTAACTTGCACCAAATTGTCTTAAGTGAAATTCTTGTAATTTGGAAAGGGATATTTAAAGCCTCTAGATAGAGCTTTCTCGGTAGTACTGTCCAATGGTGTTCTGGACACAGACCACTCTCAAATCTCTCATAATTTTCTCTTCCCTTATGAATGATTTCTGCCTATTTTTTCATGGTTTAATTTAAATTCCCAATCTCATAAGTTGCTTATTGTGAATCTTCCCAACCTGGCCATATAGTGTAACTGGCATTAATTGTAGCTTTAGGAAATCCTCAGAATTAAGAGCGTCAGACAATGATTGCCTAAGTCTGGCATTTGTTTTTATTACCTTATGAATTCCTGAAATGTTTTAAAAGAGTCTTTCTTTAACCAAATCATGTAATATATGCGAAGAAAAGTTGGGTTTCAAGGAATCTGTTGTTTCATAATTGTTGAGCTTACTTCCATTTCGAGTGAAAGTATTGGGTGAAGAGATTCGAAGGTCGGTTCCACCAGAAGACGACGGCGGGTTTCTCCTGACCAGCTGTCATTTGGCTTTACTGGAAGATTCATGTTGACGCTGTTTCCAAGGCAATTTTCTTCGATTTCGGTAAAAGGTGCTAAGCTGTCGTCCATTATATGACGAACATCATCAGAGCGAGCTGTCATCGTCACAAAAAATTCAAGCTAACGAGTCGGAATGAAAGTAAGCTCAACAAATCATGTGATACTTTTATAAGATCTCTCATAGTTCCAAGTGGCAAATCAGGTCAATGTATGCAAGGAACATTCTATAATAAATCAAATTTAATTAACATGTATGACCATTAATCAACTGGTCAATCGAATCTGGTTGTTGTGGTGCAACGTGCAATCTCAACACTGTCATGGGTGCTCTGGGTCACAGGCCAGATGTGAAATATAAATAAGGCCCTGCCTTTTGCCGTATCCCTTTATTAAATTTAAATTTTCGATAACGTTGAATATAAGGTTAGCATGTTTTATGCTAACATGAAAGAAATGTGAATACACGCTATAAGACTGAAAACTCCACTATTGGATACATGTGAGATTTTAGAACTTAGAGTGGAGTTTCTCCCACAATCATATAGGCAAGTCAAAGTAAACCATTGAAGCTTTGCCTCCAAAAAGTTTTCTCATTAAGTCTGGGCTGTAGTCCGCGATACCAAACCTGATCATGCACATCGTGGCGACATTTTACTGCTCCGCTATACAGCCCCGTGTGACAGTTGATCATAAAGACAATGTGATCATTGATATTGGGATTTTTCGGTTTTTAAGACTACCTGTGAGTCTTGTGAAAAAGCTGTCGTGACTATATTTCGCTTTAAAGTGATGAAGGAATGAATGCTAAAATTTCCAGCACAATGAAATGCGTAGGCCTCATATTTTTATTGGATTTCGGATAGTCTTACTTTCCAGAAGTTGTTCTTATCCATGGCAGAATATGTGAAATACATTGGAAACCTAGGCCTACTTAGCTGATTGTGTATAAATTCAACAAACAGTCTTTCATTGCCTTAAAAAGATACATCTCATAGATATAATAGTGGGATTGTCAGTAAGATTAAAATGTTCTTGCCG